CACTTGAAATGATTGCCGATATCCATACCCCTCCTACTCATATTCCTCCTACACCCTTTCCTCCTACTCCCTCTCACCATAACCTAACCCCCTCAATTCTGTCCACCACCGATATCCATCCTTCCGATATCTATCCTCCTACCACTAATATTCCCCCCACACCACTTCCTCCTACTCCCGCCCATCACAACCCACCCCCTTCAACTCCAACTATACGCACATTCTCCCTCCCTCCCTCCCCTCTATCCTTTCAACTCCCTCCCGGATACACACGGGAATCACTCATGTCACAACAATACCCTTCCCCAGATTCCCTACCTCCTGATACCCCTCCTTTATACCCCCTAGCTCCCCCCCTCCCCAGATTCCCCAACACGTACCGGCAATTTCACTCATAAAATAACTAAGATATAGCTCTCCTACACTGGAATATTCGCGGTTTCCGTTCTCACAGACCAGACCTACGTCATATCATTGGTTCTTACAACAACCTGTTCTCCTTCCTCAGACGCATGAATATCCTTCACTTGATCTAATTCCCTTACCTAAACCACCATAACCCATGCCTTCATCAACCCCCTTACCCATCTTCAACTTTCCAACATTACTCGAGATAGTTGACGCATAGCAACTATCACCTGACATCCCCCTTTACTATACCTTCCTATAGTGCTATATGACCTTAGATGCCTAGCACATTTATTTCGCTTTTAACCATTAACCATTTAACCGCTTTTGTTGTTGGTGTACGTGTGTGCGCGTTTCCCCTTTCCTTGCTGACTATCCGCGAAAAAAGATCGTTGTGTGTGTGTGTGAACACGTTTTAGTTACTATTTTTACCTGATTTATGACAACTGACGAAATGTAATGGAAGGCCTGTCACGCCCATACAAGGTACCTTGGTTACACCCAAATCGCCGCAGGCAGTGACTATTCCAGTGTATGTTCGTAACTTTTAAGTATAAATCGGACAAACTCGGATATACTCGTGGATTTGTTTCTTATAGTGTGTCCAGATTTCTCTTTTTTTCGTTGTGCTTCTTTTCTTCTCTACTTTTGCTTTCCTTCATTTTCGTCTTAGATCGCCGGTCCTTCGGCCATCCCATTTTAGTATCTAATAAGCATCAGTTTCTGGGAAGTCCTCAGTGCGCCGTGACTTCCCGCGGTAACAACAGACGGTGAATTTGCGCACATGTCCATTTTTCACTATCAATAATCTCGTTTCACAAATACGCAGTGAAGATTTTTTCATGTGAGGTTAAATTCCTTCTCGTTAGAGCTTTCCTTAAACCGTATATTATCTCAAAGAGATTAATTAGCGCTAGCCTTAAAAACGTTTCGAAACACCTGGATAAAGTGAAAACATTTCACTTTTTCTTATTTATTTCATTAGAAAAAAAAAAAAACATTGAATTTCATTTACCTTATTTTTTCGGTTCTTTAAACAATATACACATCCGGACGGATGAACAAACACAGAAGTCCCATATTTAGACTGACTGCGGTGGAAAAAAGATAAAATAACTAGCTAAGAAAAGACAATTCAGATAAACAGATAAATTAATAACATAATGATCATGCATGGTAACTGGGATGATAATGATCATGAATGATATACCAGGACCTCGCTGGCAACTGGGTAATAAGTCGTGGATAAAATGATGGCCGTAAAACAATATCGTTCCCTAATCAATCCCTGACTGAAACAAAGGCTGACCTACACCTCCCCCTCGAGCAAGCCCTGCGAACTCAACCTCAGTGCCACGGCCGAATGAATCTGACACTAAGCGGCGCGAAAGAGGACGAAAGAGAAAGAGAGATATAGAGACAGACAGAGAGAAAGGACGGCAGACAAACCCCCTTACCCATCTTCAACTTTCCAACATTACTCGAGATAGTTGACGCATAGCAACTATCACCTGACATCCCCCTTTACTATACCTTCCTATAGTGCTATATGACCTTAGATATTTTTAGACACACGGGGTCTAGCTCCTAACCACTCCGCCCTCGGCACCCGGGGAGACGTGGGGGGTCTCTTGTGGTCTTACATCTCCCTTTCATAATAATCCCACAACCCAAGGCCCCTTTCATTCACCTGCGTGGAAGGCACCCTTTCTCGTTCACATCTAATGGCAGCGGTATTCCAATCCTCTTCCTTCACATCTGGTAACAGCGGCACTACCTTCAGACCTTTACAGAGGTTGCCACGAATTCTCTCTCTGATATGCACGACAGTTTGGAATGGATTTCTTCATCCTTAAAGTATATCATAAAGGCGAAGAAGAAAAAAAGTAGATCTAGTAACCGCCAATTTGCTCATTTGGGAATCCCAGTTCTGCGATCGGTACAGAATGTACATACATTTTCTATGTTTTACATTATTTGTTAAAGTTATTTTATTTTCAACAGTATTCTTTATGACTACGATTTCTTCTCCTCCTTCTTCTTCTCTTCCTCCTTCATCTCCTTCTTCGTCTTCTTCTTCTTCTTCTTCTTCTTCTTCTTCTTCTTCTTCTTCTTCTTCTTCTTCTTTTCTCTCCTCCTCCTCCCTCCTCCTCCTCCTCCTCCTCCTCCTCCTCCTCCTCCTCCTCTTTTTTGTTGTACTTCTTCAAGAATTCAGATGACGTGTTAGGCTTTTCAGGGATACACTCTACGATTTCTCCTCCTTCTTCTTCTTCTCTTCCTCCTTCATCTCCTTCTCCTTCGTCTTCTTCCCTTTCCCCTTCTTCTTCTTCTTCTTCTTCTCTTCTTCTTCTTCTTCTTCTTCTTCTTCTTCTTCTTCTTCTTCTTCTTCTTCTTCTTCCCCTTCTTTTTCTTCCCCTTCTTCTTCTTCTTCTTCTTCTTCTTCTTCTTCTTCTTCTTCTTCTTCTTCTTCTTCTTCTTCTTCTTCTTCTTCTTCTTCTTCTTCTTCTTCTTCTTCTTCCTTCCTCCTGCTCCTCCTCCTCTTTTTGTTGTACTTCTTCTTCAAGAATTCAGATGACGTGTTGGGCTTTCCAGGAATACACTCTGCGATTTCTTCTCTTCCTTCTTCTTCTCTTCCCCCCTTTTTCTCCTTCTCCTTCGTCTTCTTCTTCTTCTTCCCCTTCCCCTTCTTCTTCTTCTTCTACTTCTTCTTCTTCTTCTTCTCCTCCTCCTCCTCCTCCTCTTCTTTCTTCTTCTTCTTCTTCTTCTTCTTCTTCTTCTTCTTCTTCTTCTTCTTCTTCTTCTTCTTCTTCTTCTTCTTCTTCTTCTTCTTCTTCCTCCTCCTCCTCTTCTTCTTCTTCTTCTTCTTCTTCTTCTTTCTCCTCCTCCTCCTCCTCCTCCTCCTCCTCCTCTTTTTTGTTGTACTTCTTCTTCAAGAATTCAGATGGTCAGGCTTTCCAGGAATACACTTGAAAATCTACTTGCCCCTTATGGTCTTCAGTTGACATACACTCTCACACGGTTACAGCGGGATCGGAATTCACAACAATATGATGCTACGAAACCTGGGTAAATTTTCGTTCATTCGTATATTCAAGAAATCGTTTGGCGTGAAAAAAAAGTTTCGCAAGAAGGGATTGGCGAAAGTATGGGCTCACGTTGCAGTAGTTTTGTAATAATGGTGTGTAAATATTATAATAATCTGCTGTATATGACTATCGCCCTGTAATATTTTGTCTGTCTGTTGTTTGATATTTGTGGTCGCACTTGAAGGAAAGCTCTTTGGGGGGAAAGCTTAATTGCAGAAAGAAGAGGAAATAAAGAAGAACGAAAATATGTATCTATATGCTTTAATTTCTGTGTACAAGTCACGGATTTATTAGATTATTGATCGATCATTTTTCTTTTCTTTTTTTTTTACAATTATTATTCAGGTTATACTATATGTCTAAGGTATGTCATTGTTATGTTATCATCATTATCATTTTTTTTATCAGTTTCATAATCATTATTATTACTGTTGTTCTTGTTGTTACATAGTAATTACATTCATCACCATCATCATCATCACCACGATCCATTAACCTTGTTATTTTTTTTACCACCGAAGCCATTTCAAATACAAAACTTATTTGTTTATCCGTGAGGAGGTATATGTGT